CTAAACCCTGAACCCTACACGCTACACCCTGAACCCTAAACTCTAATGAGCGAGGCCTCAGTGCTCGCCTCGGAGCGGGGTCTGACTTGGCGGGAGGCCGGGTACTTGGAGGTTCAGGGGGCGATGGAAAAGGGGGTAGGTTTAGGGTTTAGGGTTCAAAGTTTAGGGTTTAGGGTTCAACGTTTAGGGTGTAGGGTTTAGGTTACATTCCTTGAAAGGGGTTATACAGGGTTTAGGGTTTAGGGTCTAAACTCCCTTCAAGGGGGATACATGGGGGATTAGAAAAGGGACTACTTTTCGGGTTTTAGGGTGGACACTTGGAGTTTAGACAATGGCTCGTATGAGGTTTATACCCTATACCCTAAGCCCCTAAACCCTAAACTCCATATAGGGTTTGTAGGGTTCAGGGCTTAGCATTCGGAGTTTAGGTTTTAGGGGTTTAGAGGTGTTGAGGGTACTGAAATGGATTACGGGAGATATCTAGGGTTATATGATAAAGTTTTATGGACTTATATGGGGGAACATCAGGCATAGGGCTCAAGACTTCTACGAAGTACGGGACAAACCTTTGGATGGAGAGCCAACTGAGAAATGAAATGTAAGCCAGGACTTTTAGGGACGTGTAGGGATGACGCGATTAGAATGATACAGCCAAGTTCGCTCAAGTTTGAGCCTCCTACGCTTTACAGTTGGGTTATAGCTACAGTTCAAAATGGGTAGGTTTTGGGGTGTCCTAAACCCTAAAACCCCCACACCGCCAAGTACACCGCCGCCCCATCAACCCCTGCTGAACCGCACCTCAGAAACTTCAAGGGGCCAGGCCGTCAAGAACCCACAGGCCATTACCTTCCACGGCGCCACGCCTGAGCCGCCCCAGCATCGCCCCCAAACTACCCAAAAAAAACCTATATAATCCTTGATAAGGACCCCCTATAGTCCCTAATAGAATGCCTTTGTATCCGAGGGGTCCCTAAGGGACCCCTAAATCCTAAACCCACCGATGCTGGGGCGGCACCAGTGCGCTTCAGCCCCAGCGCCAAGGCTAGGATGTCTGCTGTCCTTCCTGCGCCCATGGCTCCAGTGGTTTAGGGTTTAGGGTTTAGGGGTTTAGGGTTTATGGTTTAGGAGGGTTATGGAAAAGAAAATGGAAACTACTTATATATGATAGGGTATATCTTGGGATTATATTGGGGTTATATAGGGATAATGGAAAAGAAAACGGAAACTACTATTTAGGGTTTAGGGTCTGTCCATCTTCACCCTCTTGGAGTCGCGCCAGTGACAGTGCCGGTGCCGGAGGCAAGGGCGCCTGCGTCGCTAGAGGCTGTCATCCCTGCCCTGGCATTGTAAGGCCCCTGTTTCGGGAAAGCCTGAAATCCTGGTTGCGAAGGTCTTCTTCACGCTCAGGGATACGTGGTCCTGTGCATCCATAATGGGATGATATTGGAAGCTCCCATCATTTGGAACCGCGTGGTTTAGGCGTGGCGTACTGTGCTGTAAGCGCATCAATTGTTACCAGAATTATGGTCCTAGGTTTCCTGTTTAGTTATCGTATAGGACAGGATACCTCACAAAGACTTCAAAACAGTAACATTATTGAGGGCCTTATACTGGCTACTTTGATTAAAGCCAGCCGAGGTTCAAGCACCGAGGTCCCCCACTCCAATTACCTATATATGTAGCAGAGTCTAAATTTCTTAAAGGGGGTTATACGGGTCTAGGATCCAGGTTTTAGGAATTCGGGTTAAGGGTTTAGGGTCTAAACTCCTCAAACGGGGTTATGCAAAGCTCATATCATGGTCTCCCTTACGCCCTTCAAGGTTCAGGGTATAGGGTGTTCCCCCTTATTTGAGGGTATTGCAAATAATAAGGATGAATTGCCCTAAGCCCTAAACCCTAAACCCTGGCCAAGTAAGGAGGACCTAGGAGAGATGGAAATCCCGCAAACCTGGAGGTAAGCAACAGAAAAAGGCACCCGTATTCTTCTTCCCAGAATTCACATGAATTTGGGCTGTTTGCTGGATTTTGTGTAGTTCCTGAAAATAGATCCCACATAATTCCTTAAGGAAGACTCCCCAATTTCTTTATAATCCCCATATACCCGCCAAGGAGGCACCCCTGCTTTGACAACATTTAAATGCCTAAACCATGCAGCCGCATATGAGCTCCTGTCAATATTAACCTTACTAAGCTTAACAGTGGACATAGGGGTCCCTCTTGTAGTTTAGTCAGTCCCTTATGTAGTCCCTTTTCCTGCAGGCAAAAGCGCGACTGGATGCCACCAACGACTGCCAGCTGAACCTACTGGCTGCCTTTAGGCACAGGAGGGTCATGTCTGTAGACGCCCCCAAAATTCTCAGTACTATACAATCAGAGTCCTTATGAAATTGTAGTCTTTCATAGCCTAAAATCCTATTTGGGCACAGAAGGGTACTTACCAAGGGAAAGTGCGTGAGCGCGTGGGGGGCAAGTCCGGCGCCTGATCCGAAGTAGCACAAGCAGTTCATAATGTTTGTTAGGGATTTAGTCTTTAGGGTTCACGGTCTTCGTACTGTTACTATGAGTCTTGTTATTGGCTCCGCCGCAGCGTAAACGCACAAAAATGCATACTTGGCCGACCTCTCCGGATGTGGCCTGCATGGCACGAAGCACACATTCGAAGTGTTTCGAGGGCCGAAATACTGCGTATACCACGCATCGTTTTTTTCCGTGTTCGACAAAATGCGATAACCAGAGCATCCATGCCCAAGTGAAAAATAATTTTCGTGTTCCGACAAAATGCGCTAACCAGAGCATCCGTGCGCAAACCATATAACATTCGTGTGTCGAGAGCATACGACAAATAGAGCATCCAAGCCGAAACCAGAATAACGGTCGTGTTCCGAGTAAGTGCTCTGTTCGTGTTCCGAGTAAGTGCTCTAACCAGAGCATCATGAAGCATTCCCAAATCATGATAAAGTTCGTGTTTCGAGTAATTGCGATAACAACCAGACCATCATCCCGAAATCATAATCACGTTCGTGATCCGAGAAAATCCGCAAAACACTCATTTCGGAAATTCCTGCCGAAGAGAATCCACTGCAAAACGACTCGTAAAAATTCTGATGTTTTTGACGTGTATTTTTCGGAAGGCCTATAGGTGCGTGCTTGCAAGAATACTGCGTTTTGCAGTGGATTCCGTACTCTAGCATTGCGCAATGATGAAGCGGCGCGCTTTTACGGTCGGGGGGACCCTTGTTATTTTTTAACAGGAGTAGCAGCAGTAGCAGCAGTACCACTTGTATGTTTTTTTATTCTGATGATGAAAAACGATTATTTCGGGGTTTAGTGGGTCTGACAGATTCCCGGAGAGCTTGCTGTAGAATCCTTATGCAGTTCTTTTACACACGTGCCCCGATGGTATCAACCACGTACCCCTGATAAGAAATCTCCCCAACCCCTAACAACAAATGTTCCCCTTGTTCTGCAGTTGTGCTATAGTAGCATCTTTAGTTTCAGAATGAGCCCATGTACCTCGAGGATCTGTAAGGGCCCGCCTTTCCGAGGGACTTCCATCCCCGTGAACCCTGTACCATCAGTAGTTTCCATTTTATTTTCCATTATCCCAATATGACCCTATAGTATCCCTATATCCTCCTACTCACCTATGACAGGACCCTTGGCCCCAGGATCCTTACGGGTCTAAATTAACAAGAGGACCCTGGTGGTAAGCCCAACCCCAAATCAGGACCCTTTTATAGCCGGGTGATAGTCAGAGCGTCCTCACGTAGGGTTTAGGCTTACTAAAGCCCTCTTAACCTAAACCTTTTGCTATCCCCATGAAAGCCGTGTATAAGTATAAAACATTTAAATCAACCTCAAATCCTAAATTCCAAGTTATACGGCCTTATACAACCTCCATGGAACCTATATTAGAGGTATACAACACTATATCCTCACGTATAATTCATGGAACTGCGTTCTGAATAGGGAATGTTGTGCCCTCAATGTTGTACTTGTGGCAAGGAAGCCCACAAGGGGTATACAGGCTCACAGCATCTGTGTCTTGAGCATTGCCATTGATGGCGCCCTCCCCGACTTGCAAAGATTGAATGCTGTCCACCTAAAGGGGCTCATAGCTTGTAAGATATGGGTGGTTCTCAAGATTATGGTCCTTTTTTGGGTACCCTAAGTATTAGGTGCCGTATTATAATAGGGACCCAAAAGGGGACCATAATTTTGACAACCACCCGTATGACTGTATCCTCGATTCGTTTGGTTCGAATGTACCTCTGCTGGGTGGCAAATGGCTGCGTGCCCTAAACCCGGAACCCTGAGCCCAAACCCTCAACTGTGTACATAAATCACATTTTAGTAGTTTCCATTTTCTTTTTGATTATCCCTATGTAATCCCAATATCTACCCTTTTAGTACTATAGCAACCAAGTACGCAGGCTTGTCTTCTGGCACTGGATGCAGCCTTCAGCTTATGTGCGTGTCTCGGTTGCTGCGCTTTAAGGAATTGGAGGGATGAATCCATGCGAGCCATAGTCTTAACTCCTTGCAGGGGGTTATATATAGGGATTAAAATATGGGAGTACTGTATAGATAGTAAGGGGCCTGCTAGGAGTTTGGACAATGGCTCATGTAGCAATTATCATAGCTCGTATGCGTCCCTAATAGTCAACTCTTGATTCCCTGCTAACGCGCAGCAAGCTTAGGGCTTACTAATGGCAAAGAGCTCGTTGATCTCAACGTCCTATGGAGTCTGTTGGCAATTAACTAGCAGGTTGTTGAGCAGCTGGGGTGTTGAGCAAACCATGTTTCCCCTAAACCTTAAACCCTGAACCCTAATGGAGGTCCTAAGTTCTTCATTAAACTAAGCTATACTCAAAACGGGGGACCTTTCTAGTCCTAGCTTGCTGGGGATCCTAGTTATTGGCATCGAGCGAGGAAAATCAGGACTGCTAGATGGGGAGGATGTAGGGATTATTTAGGGTATGGGGTTAGGGTTTAGGGTTAAGGGTTCAGGATTTAGGGTTTAGGGTTTAGGATTTAGCGTTTGGGGTTAGGGGTTAGGGATTCGCACAGAGATCCTCCATGACGAAGTCTGGGAAGCATCAAGCCAAAGGCATTCATCTTCCTTACAGCAAGGGCACAGCACAGAATATTGACATGCTAGCGTTGCAATGTTTCTTCATTGTTTCCTTGTTCCCGTAACCCTAATCCCTTAACCCTCCCAAACCCTAAACCCTCTACTTGGTTAATAAGTGATTGTGTATACCCTGGCTCAAGACCGGCTTACAGGGGGTTTCCCGAAACAAGGAACCTGCAACTTGTTTGTGTATCAGGGAATCAAAGCTTATCAGATGGCGTGCAGGGGAACCTGAAGATGGACCACTGCTAGGGTTTAGGGTTTCGAGACTTGGGTTTTAGGGTTTAGAGGTTTAGGGTTTAGGGCCCAGGGATCGGTCTTACTAGAATTACAAGATGTATTCAACAATCACCTCGACGTAGCGCAGAGAAGCCACCTCAAAAAGGCTGCCGTCACTGGCCAGGATGTCTGTTTAGGGTTTAGGGGTTAGGGGTTAGGGGTTTAGGGGTTAGGGTTCAGGATACAATTCCCGCGGCCAAAACTCATCAGGCAGTCGTCTTGCCTGCGATATGACGCGCGTGAACGATCGTAAGGAAATGTTCCGATCACGCTTTACATGCACTGAGACCCTCGAAGAACCTCAACCCAAATCCCTCCCAAAAAACTCATAGCCCTTTGCCTTCAGGAATCCAAGTGTTGTCCTCGTACATCAAGTGGATACCCGACAATCCAACAGCTGGCCTCTATAACAGCCACCCCAGTATAATCCTTATGAAGGGCTTTAGGTGTTGAAGGACCATCGCACAGCCCAACGTGTCAAGTCCAAGTTACAGTATGACATACGCAGTATGACGCACATTGAAGCTTCATTCTTATCATCTAGGAAGCGCAAACCCTTACCCCTTACCCGAAAGCCCCGGAAGCCCTAAACCTGACCTAGACCCTCAACCCTGAAGCACTACTTCCTACAAATCACGAGATAATCCCTATAGCGCACCATGAAATGGTAGTTTCCCCAAATAGGGATACCCCAAAATATAGACCTGAAAATACTATGATCCTTAGCATGGCGACCCCGAAACGTACCCCATAATTTTGGGAAGCCCTAACCCTAACCCTAAACCCCTGAACAGTAGCTTCCATTTTCCTTTTCCATTATCCCTACAGACCCCGTACATATTCCCATATAACCCATACAGCCTAAACCCCTAAAACCCTAAACCTTATATACCCCCTTAAAAAGACTAAATGAAGATTAGGCTCTTCTGCTCTACGCGTGGAGCGATGATCCTTACTTCCGGTCGTCTGGAAGTAGCTTCCAGGCCGGTCAGAACCTCTATAAGTTGGGTACTGCCCCCAAAGTATGGGTTTTAGGGTTTAGGGTATAGGGTTTAGGGTTCAGGGTTTAGGGTAGGTACTGCCCCCACCCAGTAACGGTCTATATTAGGGGTCCTATTAAGAGTTATATATACCCATATTAACATCATTATCCAGCTGTTACTGAGGGGGGGCAGTATCCAATCTATGAGTTTAGGTTTTAGGGTTTAGGGTTTAGGGAGAACCCCTATCTAAGCTATAGTCTAAACTCCTTAAAGAGGGGTTATATAGGGGAATCGAAAAGGGGATATTAAGGGGGATACTAGGAGTTGAGACTACGAGCTCATATAACTCCTATAATTCCCTGAGTTTCCATATTACTTTTCATTCCTTTTGCTGTAGGGATTACCTGAGGGCTTATAGGGCTTGAAGAATTCGGGGATTTAGGGTGTAGAGTTTGGGGATTTAGGGTTTAGGGATCTAAGGGTTGGGGCTTACAAGGTTTAGGGATTATGTAGGGGTTTATAGGTATACATATATATATATATGTATGGGTTTCAGGGCTTTTCTGTGGAGTTATGTTCTTACAGGCTTTAGTCTACTCCCCAATCCCTCCCCAATCCAACAGTCCGTCGCCACACCCTTGGGGCTTGGTTGTAGCAGAAATTCGATCATCCACCCTAAGCCCTACCCTCCCGCAAACTAGCACGCAAACCCATATAGCCCATTCAAAAACGAAAGTTGACATCAGAGGGCCTTGTTTGGGGTTCCATGTTATTTAGGCTGAGAGTATAACCCTGAACCCCAGCATATCCCTATACCCTAAACCCTACACCCTAAACCCTAAATACAAGCCCTACAGAATCCCTGAAGCCTTCCTCCTTATACCCTGACGAACTGGAAAACGAATCCCTACATGTCAGTGTCAATCCCAGTTCTTTTGACAAGCAATCCTATCCCCTAGTAGCCTCAGGCTTCAGGCGTTTAGATGGGGGTTACATAGGATGATAGCCGGGGTCGGGGCTGGGGTAAGTAAAATCCCTTCTTGAAATAGTGTCAGGGCTTCGTCCCATTAGCGGAGGATCAGATGGGACATAACATGGAAGCTGGGGCTGGGGGTGTATGACAGCTGTTGATAAGACGGTGTCTGTCATGCCTCACCGATTTGGGAAAGGCTTGTGTGTCAACCTACGAACATCTGGCTAGTCTATAGACTGTGTATTTAGCCCACATGCTGAAGTCCAGCAAAACTTGCACATCTTGAGCTGAAAGCGCTGCGCTCAGACCCATACCCGAATCCACTAGTCCGCTTTCCAAAGCTAGCCTGAAGCCCGATCGAGTCTTTATGGTTCATTTCGGGGTCGTCTCCGGTAGAGTATCTCTGTTATGCACCACTCCCGCCCAGCTTTCCTCAAATACTGCCTCTCTGCCTCTTAGGCATCATTTTTTGAGGGTGGTTGCCAAGAAGACCATGATTCAGATTTGTCCTTGAGCTTTGAACCCTATACCCCAAGCCCACCTTAAACGCTATACCCTAGACCCTAATCCATCCTTCATCTCATAATCCATCTACGCACCCGGGAATATTTCAAGCTTAGGGCTTAGGGGCCAGTATCCAGAACGCATTGCTGCCGGGTCCTGATGCAAAGAAATATAGTACAGGTATTGTGACATAGTTGGTCTTTAGTTCTGAAAGCTACTTTAGCCGCCTGTTGCAGGTTGCAAGAACCCCATACGACCTGAACAGCGCCCTTTAGCCCCAAGACTTTAGGGGTTTGGGTCCTCTGAAACTGAAACCCGAAGCCGTGCGGAGATTGTGATGGCTCTGGCAGTGCTCATCCGTGAGGCAGAGCTTTGAAGGGTTTAGGGTTTAGGAGTTTGACATGTCAGCTGTTTATGCTACCATCAATACTACGGTTGTTACAGGGATCAACTTAGCTTTGGCGTTTAGGGTTGTCTGGATTAATTGGAGGTTTTTGGTGGGGGTATATCGGGTTCCTCTGGGATGTCGTATGTAACAAATATAAATAGCGACAGTAGCTCACCAACGTAAGAACAAAGACCTACCTGCTGGACATAGCATTCATAGGCGCTAATGGGGTCAGAGTACCAGACCCCTTTATTGTCTAGGGTTAAAACCATGGGCCCCTAGTATGGGCCCTCCCTTAACCCTTGGATCCTTATATACCTACTATATACCCTGTATGAATCCCCTGGAATCCACCTAAAAGGCCAAAGCGCCCATATTAGGGGCCCATACTTCTAACCTCAGATTGTGCCGGGGGGGGTCCCAGAAACGGATTATGGTAGGTTGGAAGATGTCTATTGGGTTGCGCTGTTTTGGAAACTCCTCAGAAGTGGGACACAGGTAGAATACTACAGTCATACCCAGAGCCGTAGTCATAGCCTGAAATCAGGGTACTCGCAACCCCACTGGTAGCTGCCCAGGAGCCTCTGAGCAAGGAATCTTCTCAAGTCCTGAAAGTGATGACAGACCGGCAGCGCCACCTAGCATATATCGGGATTCAAGTGGGGAACCGTCCTTGCCGGTGTTCTGTGATTCACGGCCCCAAAGACCTAAATCCTAAATGGAAAGCTCTCAGTACCTTATACCTTCGGAATTATGTATAGGAGTTTCGTATACAAAGGCCATGCACGGCTTCAGTATCAACACTAGTGGCAGGTCATGTACTTTCTGTGCACCTCCCTTGCGTTGGTACAATGCGCTGCACTCAGCAGCAGCTGGCTCCTAGGATTTGTTTTTTAGGGGGCTTCTAGGGCTTGGGGCTTAGGCGAATAAACTAGAGGGGTCCTTCTAAAGAGATCATGTTGAATTGCAAGCTGAAAAGAGCAGGTTGCCTTGAACAACCAGAAAGGTTTCGTTTTGATCAATTGCCCTTGATTCTGCGCCGACATGGGCAAGCCCCTACCTTCGAGTCAAATGTCCCTGGGAAGCGGACCGAAGATGCAATAAGAGGCAAGGGGTACCATACTATTCACGTTTAATTACCTTTGACAATTACTAGTATCATTACTGTTACCATGCTATACTCACTACTACTTTTCCATCATGATGGCAGCCAAATCTACTGCTATGATGGTGGAGCAGATGTTGAGGATCAAGGCGGAGGGATAAGCTTTAGAGTTACCCATGCTTGGCAGGGAAGGAAGGGATAGAAAAATGGAAGCGACTATACTGTTCACTGTTGGGGGCTATAGAGAGACAGCCCTAAGCCCTAAACCCCAAACCTGCCGGACTACTAAAAGGATCTATTCCTTCATTCAAATAACAATAACAGTATTGATAATAGTAGTAATGATGCGAATTATGTTCATAGCAACAATAGCAATCAAACTAATGATGAGAATTGTCTTGCCTAAGCCCTAAACCCTAAACCCTAAACGAGGGAAGTAAGTTTCCCATTGCCAGTTTCAGACCTTAGATGGGCCGTGCCTGGACAGCTGCCACCTGCATCCAGGCGTCATACGAGCTACATACAGTCTAAAGTCGTAAAGGGGACTATATGGGGGATTCTAGAGCGGAGTATTATAAGGGTTATTCAGGTGGATTCGAGGAGGTTAGACTATAGCTCATACGAACTGTAGCCAATATTTGCCTTACCAAGGGACCCCTAACTGTGGACATAGGGGGCCCTCTGGTAGTCTAGTATAGTCCCTGAGATGGTCTTCAATCAGGAACCCATGTCCATCAAATTATGTGGTAGATTTTAACTGTAGTTCTCTTGAAAAGTTAGGGGCCTTGTTTTGCCAATAATTAGGATTAGGGTAGTTGGGGGTCCAGAATGGCACTCACTTCGAACGGCTTTCCTCGCTGGCTACCTCGTTGCTAGCAGCTTCCTTTTCCTGCCAAACTTGATGCCAACTCCCCTCCAAAGTCTTCCTGGCCATTATCCCTAAACCCTAACCCTAAACCCTAAACCCTCCAAACCCTAAAAGATCCAAAACCCCAAGCCCCTAAAGCTCCTAGGCCTCGAGCCGGCCTCAGGGGGGATGTTTTACCAATATATACCCTATTATAATGTAGTAGTTTCCATCTTCTTTTCCATTTGATTCTCCATTATAGTAGTTTCCATTTTGTTTTCCATTAATCCCAATATAATCCCAATATATACCCTATGCATGCGTAGGTGGCACGATATAGTTTGGGGCTTGGGTGATCTAGTCTAAGCTCCACCCCTCTGTGCCCCTACCTGTCTAGAGTTTAGGATTTAGGGTGTAGGATTTAAGTTCCTAGCCATGGTCATCTAGCATGGCCCCTAGGAACTAGGTCCCTTGATTGGGCTCGTAGGGCATAATATGTAATAAAGGAGCCGAGGACGAAGCCGACCCCAGGACATACTCGTTGGAATCCCCATGCCTATGTCTGGAGATCTCAAGGCGGCCTCACTCTTGACAAACCCTAAACCCAAATCCCTAAACCCTCTTCTCCCTGTAACCCCGAACTTGAAGAGCTACTCTGAGACTGCCCCATACTAGGTACCCCAGTGGTACCCTTTTTCCCTTTGTATTTTGGGGTCTCCTTATTAAAGCAGACCATTGGGAAAAAAAGGCACCCTTATTATTAAGGGATTACTGGGGAACCCATTCCTAAGCCCTAAACCCTATGGTAGTTTCCATTTTCTTTTCCATTATCCCTATGTAACCCCAATATAACCCCAAGACATACCCTATTATATTATAGTAGTTTCCATTTTCTTTTCCATAACCCCATATAGTCTTATATATAACCCGTGTAGTTTGCATGGGAACCTGGCATATGAGGCCCGGCCTTTCTCCTTGTTGATGTGCCAGCTACGTGGCGCAGTGGTGCACGTGGTGAGGCAGCCAGCTATCCATATGGGCTATGGGCTAAACTTAGGTGGGGGGGACCTATAGAGACTATATAGGGTTTTGGCGGGGACCTATGAAGGGATATACTACAAATTTAGTCCAGGGCTGTAGTTTCCCAGAATAAGGGCACCCAGAGAATAGACCCCAAAATACGATGGTCCTTGTTATGTGGACCTCCAACAAAGTAACCCTAGTTTTGGGAACCCCCTTAAGAAACTTATATAACCCCTATATGACCCCTATAACCTCGTTTAAAGGTACCCCTAATTTTGGGAAACCCCCCATAAAACTTTTTCAGGTTTAGTAGGACGGAAACTTGCGGCTTCAACCCGGCGTGAAACACTATGCTGCGCCACTGGAGACTAAATCAGGGTTCAGGGTTCAGGGTTTGGGGTGCAGGCATCGTACAGACGGGGTTTTCGAAAGGCCTGGCAACTCCAAACCTGAACCCTAACCCTTCTTTACATCCCAGGTTAGAACTATGGGCTCCTTCTATACTCCTTACATACCACGTAAGCCCCTACATGCCCAACTAAGGGCCCATAGTAACGACACACAGGAAACAGGCCGGTCCCAAACTAGGAGCCCATGGTTCGGACCGTAGAATAGATACATGGGATTGCTGAGCACCTCCGAATCTGCCGACGCATCTGCCTCGTCCATTATGTTTTGAACTAAGCCCTAAACCCTAAACCCCAACTGTCATTGCTTGGGCCTCTTGTAGGCAGCCCCGCAGATTTGCGGTCAAGGGCTTACCCTCAAAGCTGAACCCTAAACCCAAAGTCCATGTAAAGGCTTGCGGGATTCGAGAATTGAAGCTTTAGCTCATCCACGAGCTTTCTCAGGCTACAGATTACCCAAGCAAAATCAAGAGTTTTGGGGGTTTAGAATTTGGGGGATTTGGGGTTTAGGGTTCAGGGTTAAGCCTTTCCGCCTCAATTAGGGCCTAGGGTTGAAGGTCCCAGAAGTTTCATAAAGTGACTGTTTCAGTATCGTGCCCAAGCAAAGGATGCCAGCAACTTGTTGATTGTGGTTCAGGGTCTACGGTTTGGGGTTTATACAGTATCTTGCAGCAAAAGGTGGCATTGGGCTTGAAAACTTCTCACAGCCAGTTTGAAGCTTCAACTCTTTACATCGTCTTATTCTCGTACAGCTGTATAACACTTTGTGTGTAGCCCTATACTTCTAGTTGGTTAATTCCCAAGACTAGTCAGTTTTAACCCCTGAGTACCTATCAGTGCAATATACCTGCAAACCACTATTCCGGTTGAACGGGTCCTATGTTAAGCCATACGGCTGCGAAATCCCTGGCCCTAAACCCTAAACCCCCGTCAGGGAAATCCTAAACCCCTAACCCTATACCTTGGGTACTGCTCCCCCTCAGTAACAGTTGGATAATATTTCTTATATTGGTATATATTATAGCCTTTAATAGGACCCCTAGTATAGACTGTTACTGGGTTGGGGGCAGTACCCAACCTAAACCCTAAACCCTAAAACCCTATACCCTTGGTTTACAAAAACCCTGACTTGGCTGCAGGCTTTTGCAAGCGTGATGATGCCGGAGAAGTTTCTGGGTGCCCCGACTGCATTTGGAGCTGTATTTTATTTGGGGATACTATGGTATTTGGGGACATTACCCCCCCAATAATGGAGAATCAAATGGAAAAGAAAATGGAAAATGAAATGGGAACTGGGATTATAGGGTAGTTAATAGAGATTATTTGAGTGGTAGTTTATCTGGGGATACTATTGGGGATTATATGGGGGTATAATATTGGGGTTATAATGGAAAAGAAAATGGAAACTACTGTTGAGGGTTTAGGGATTAGGGTTTAGGGTTTAAGTAGTATTTCATTTTGGGGATACTATGGTACCCAATATAGGGTTTAGGGCCCTATAATGGAGAATCAAATGGAAAAGAACATGGAAAATGAAATGGAAATTGGGATCATCTAGGGGTTATTTGTGTAGTATTTGATTTGGGGATACTATGGTACCCAATATAGAGTAAGATGATATCCTCCTTTGGGGGTATAGTATTTCATATAAGGAATATAATCTTACTAGGTTCAACCACCAAAAAAACACTACTCATTTGGAGTTTAGGGCTAAGGGTTCAGGGTGTGGGTTTAGGGTTCAGGGGTTAGGGCTTAGGGTGTGGGTTTAGGGGTGAGGGCTTAGGATTTAGGGTGTGGGTTTAGGGTTCAGGGGTTAGGCCTTAGGGTTCAGAGTGTGAGTTTAGGATTCAGGGGTTAGGGCTT